GATTCGGATATTGATGCTGCAGTAAAAAAGCTTGTTATCGTGGTGAGCCATTGCCTCTTGGCCAGCTCGGTTGGGAGACAGATCATTGATCTTGGAAGTGATGAACAGCAGCGTGAGGGGGCTTACGACATTGTGCATGCATGCATTGGCCTGAGATCCCCTGCGACACTTGTCAAACGTGCAAACTCTTTGTTGTCCTTTTTGCGTTGGTCTGCAAGGAGTCACGTTGGTCTTACGGAACCCATTCATTGAGCAGGTTGTGTGGGAGTATTTTCAATATCTTAAGCTTTCAGATGCTGCTGCTACCAGAGGGAGCTCAACCTTGTCTGCTTTCAGGTTCGCTCAGTATATCTTAGGATTTGATTGCCTTCGTGAGGTGACCGTGAGCAGGAGGCTGATCGGGCTGGGCGAACAGATGTTTTCGAAGAAACGTTTCTTGAAGCAAGCATTGCCGTTGACGGTTCAGCAAGTGTTGAAATTGCATTCCATTGTGAAAGATTTAAACAGGCACCCAGTTGACAGGGCAGCAGCTGCATATTTCTTGATCGCCACTTACGGAAGATGTCGTCACAGTGACCTAGCTGCCGTCGTGTGTGTAGTCCCTGACTTTGATGACAGAGGTGGGTTCATTGAGGTGCGTACGGCACTTCACAAGACCGGAAGGTCAGCCGCATCGAGAACCCAGCTGCTACCAATCCTCATCCCTGCCATTGGTGTTGATGGCGAAGTTTGGCCGGGGGCTGCGTGCGAAGCGTTTGAGGGCGCCGGTCTCCCCCTTTTTGGTGAAGTTGATTCGCCTTTGTTTCGGGCCCCCAAGGGTGAAGGGGGCTTGTTTTGTAGGCGCGGCATTACATCCGCTGAAGCTTCAGATCTCCTTCGTGCCCTCATCGGTGTGTCCATTGAAGGTGTCGAGGCGGGCGCCCCTATTGTGTCCAGTCATTCGACCAAGGCCACTTGCCTGTCGTGGGCTGCAAAGTATGGACTGACTCCTCGTGACAGATCCATTCTAGGAAGGCACGCAAGTAGTACCGTTGAGACTTATGCTATCTACTCTCGTGACCTCACTGTGGCTCCATGTCGTGAACTGCAGAAGGTGTGCGTTGAGATTTCACTTGGTAGGTTTTTGCCCGATGCTCCAAGGAGTGAATTCTTCCCCGCACTTCCACCAGAGCCGCCGTTGGCAACGACTACTGCCGTGAGAGCGGCCACACAGGACAATGCAGTGATCGCTAAGGAGGAGGTAGTATTAGGTATGCCAGGCGCAGACGTTTTGGATGAGCCCATTGAGCTCGTGTCTAGCTCGTCTTCATCGAGTGACTCTGAGGCTGGTCTGTCGTCTGACACTTCAGCAGCTGGAGAGCCGCCTCCTCGGGTGAAACGGTTCAGACCCAGGTTGGAAGCCTCTGAGAGGTGGTATGTCCATCGTAAGTCACACATCCTGCACAAATTTGATGAGAAGAACTCCATGTTCTTTGATCGTGACTACTTGGCTTGTGGAAAGCGCCTGACGGAAGCGTATTCACTGATCTCAGAGTCGAGTGCATGGAATGTCCAGTGCAAATTGTGCGCGAAGAAGCGGTGATGCGCTTATGAGTGTGGCGGTGATGCCCTCTAGGCGCGACCTTTTCCAGACTTTGATACAAGTGCTCTGCGCACAAAAGGGTCGTGCAAACGAAGGCCGGTGAAGGCACATGAGCGGTGAAGCTCAACTTGGGGGCCTGCGCTTGTCCGGATGCATCCATGGAGAGTGCATCGGCATCGGCCGAGAGGCCAAGAATTTGAACCCCCCCTTGACTTGTGGCCAGTCCTGTGAAAAAAAAGGAGCGACGCGAACGATGAGCAATGAAGACCAGGAGTAGGGCGCCCGAAAGTGTTTTTTTTCGTTGTTTCTGAACTGTGTTTCGGGCGCCCTTCAAACTTCTTTGTGTTCAGCCGGTGAAGGCTGCCAATTTTCCACTCCGATATGAGGTGTCCGCAAATGCCGGTTTTTGGATCGAAAAAGGGTTGTTTCCGGACACCTTCGAAAGGTGCTTCCTTTGACGGATCGGAGGCCCAGTTCGATCAAGACCAAACGGAAAATTGCCAGTGAAGGCTGGTTATAGGGTTGCTTACTTGCCTGAGCCCTCTGTTCATTTCATGTTCTTTGAGTATGGATCGGTCGAGTTCAGCTGTGACGTAACGACCAACCGTGGTTTTGGCTGGACTTCTTTCGGCCCGCAGGCATGGGGATTGCGTGTTGAATCAGGACTGGAAATTTACCTCAGCTTAACTGGTGTGGACATGATTGCATGGATGTGTTTTCATTGCGGTTGCTGTTTTGTCATTTCTTTGAACTCTTACTCTCTTGGTTTTGTTTGGTGTTCTCAACCACCGTCCGCGTGCGCGGATCTGACGACCAATGGCCCTGCTTGTTGACAGCGAGGCGCAATTCCTACTGAGGCTCGAGCAGTGCAAGGTCCCAGCTTCATTGGCCGCTGCCTTGAGGTTGGCTGGGATCACAACCATCTCTTCGTTAGCTTACAGCTACGGGCAACCAGGCCAACAAATCGACAGCAACGACTTCAGGACATGGGTGACTAGTCTCGACCCTGCAGTCTCTTTGGGTGGCGCTGCAGCATTGAAACGTCTGCTCTTTGAGAGCCAAACTCAGTGCAACTCCTCGCCATATTAAAAGAGCAGGTCACGTCTCCTGATGCTGCAAGCCTGAGGCGTGTCCCTCAGGCTGAGAGGGAGGCTCGACTTAATAAGTTGAAGACCAGATTGAATGGCATCCTCATCGAAGGTAACACTGAGCCGGGGCATTCATTTCTGGATGCTGTTTGCAACATGCATGAAACCAATCAATTGAAGTATTTTCCACCAGAGAAATGTGTCAGCCGCTTGCATGAGTTGACAAACCAGAAGACGCCGGGGAAGACCATCGAGGTCGAGTCGAGCAAACTAGTGTTGAAGGACAAGGCAGAGGAGTATGAGGTCTCGGCGACAACATCCTTGCAGATTCTGGAGGCTTTTAAGCGCCGCGGCCTCGCTCTGGACTTTGCGGGTTGCATGACATTTCAAAACCATGACAAATACATACAGACTCTTTATTCCCATTTGCACCGTGAGCCTCCTGCAGGATTCTCCAGA